GGAACTTCAATGGGACATTTTATAATATATTATGGTATTTCAAAAGGAATTGTGAATTGATTAATAATATTAATCACTATTTAAATATATTTATTTCTCATTGTTTCCCTGTTTTCTAATTAATGGTGTTAAGGTGTTATTAACTGGTATTTTAATTTTCTAATTAATGTTCTTGAGTTTTCTACTTATAAATTAAAAGGCAATGTAGACTGCATAGTTAAACATGCCATCCTGAGCTTTCAGGCACTCCCCTCCCCTCCTAGTGCACTCTTAGGTTATTATGTAATTTTCACTGTAATGTGACCTTCCTTTCTATAAGAAGAGTTCTTTTAATTTTGGGGAGCAATCACCTTAAACTGTGTGTGGCAAGATAACTTTTAAAAATAATGTCCTTAAGCACAACTCGAGTCATATTTTTCCATTGGATTTTCCTACAACCTCAACATATAATTATATTCTCTCAATAAGAGTTATCAATTGGCTAAGTCAAACTTCAATGAGTTAGCTGAAAAGTGATAAACAATTAATAGAGAAAGAACAATAATACATCAAGAAATTGAACACAATATATAATGATCCTTGAAACATGCAAGCATGGAGCTTTATAGTCTTGTTTAGCAGAACGTGAAGCTTGTAGTCTTGTTTAGATCTTCAATAAAGCTAAAAATTCATGTAGTTCGAAAGCTAAATATTAGGTTGAACCCAATCAAACTTGTAGTTTATCCAGACTACCTAGCAGAAAGAATAGTGATTAATTCACTGTTCACAGAGACTTAATCACATGGACTTCTTGGCATATTGTTTTCTATCGTCATATGATCGTCTCCAAGGCTAAACATTCTTGAAGTTCTTGCAATATGTAACTTATATCTGGCCTTTGGTTTGGTGTTTGTAACACACATGACATTGCCACTTCAACAGCTTTCCAAGTTGAATTAACATGGCATTCTCCAGTTAACCGTGGATCAACAATGACTTCAATATCCCCACATTCAATTTTAGGTTGAACCCAATCAAAAATAAAATTAATATTCTCATGTTCTCTCTTTATTGGAGGACGATTGGTTATTAGCTGAAGAATAATCATTCCAAAACTATACACATCATTTTTCTTATTTAGATGTCCAGATCTTTAAAATCTGCAAAAGATAACAATTAACTAAGTTAAACATATAATAGATTGGTTTTGAAATGTCACTAATAAATTAAATGAAATAACTATTATGTTGTCTTTTGTAGTTATTGAGCAAACATTCTTGGATTCTTTTTATTGATATGAAAAAAAAGCACCTACGCAGGGTCAATATAACCAAGAGTGCTAGCTACTTGAGTTGAGAGATGTGTATCTCCTTCATTCATAAATACTCTAGATAGTCCAAAATCAGCAATCTTAACCACCATGAATTTATTTAATAAAATGTTGGATGGCTTCAAGTCTCTATGGATTGTAGGAGTTCTACAGCCAATATGAAGATATTCCAATCCTACAACACCAATCAGATTATTATATAAGAAAAAGGGAAGTATATAATGCCTTTTAATACGGAGATAGAGATAAATATTATAGTAGTTTTGTTACCTTTTTCTGTATCAATTGCAACTTGAAGTCTCTTATTCCACTTCAAAACATTTGAGTTTTTATCTACAAAACATACAATTCTTTATTAGCAAGATGTTTTAATATAAGAGTTAAGGTGTAAAATATCTACAAAGTATCTTGCGCGGAGCTGCTGGTATTCTTAACTCAAGTATGATGCAATTTTACCTATCATCTCCTAAAAAATGGTGCAAAACTCGTCAATTCTACCCATGCGTTTGCCACATGAAAATGGATTAGGAGCAAAATTATCCATCATGTACTATACTATGGTGCAAAATCCTAACAACTGTGCAAAAATCTCCAAACTAAAACAAAGACATATATATGTTTGCAAAAATTTATTTGATCCTAACAACTGTGAAATTTTATTTGATCCAAAGTGTAAATGAGGAAATACATGTGTTTAAATTTGTCTAAACTAACACAAATCCTAAGCACAATATTTTATTTTGTCACACTTATAGAGTTACAATTAGGAGAAGAGAGAAGGGAGTTTGAACTAATTAACGTGGGTAGCGGAGAGAAGAGAGTGACGAGTTGAGATAATTTGAGAACTATGGGTAGTAATAAGTCAAATTAAAATTTAGTATCTTGCCTTTATGATCAATAAATGAGATCTTACTAACCATATATATAGTTGCACTTAATTATGACTTGAAAACCACAAGACAACTACACCAGTAGTGATACTACAAATTAAAGTTTTAAGAACATGATATGACAAACCTGATAATAGTTGGCCAAGGTCACCGTTATCCACAAATTCATAAATCAATGCCATGATGTTATTTTCATGGCAATACCCAACAAGTGAAACCAAGTTTCTATGGTGAATAACTGTCAAGAGTAGAGCTTGCAAGACAAGACCTATTAGCTCCATTATAACTGGTAAGAAGATCTTGCACCTAATTTGCTCATGTTGGAAAATTTTAAATGGTGTGACTTTTATGTCTAACCTCCGATTAAAATTCCTTGTATCCTTGCTTTGATTATGCAAAAAGTAATTTTACTGCAACTTGAGAATCATCTTCTAAGGTGCCAAGATAAACCTTCCCAAATCCTCCTTCTCCAATAAGAGTTTCAAAATTCTTGGTGATATGAAGAATTTGTGAGTGAGAAAATTCTCGATTATTTGGTTTTAGATTTCCATCTTCATGGATTTGGTAGACAAATCTGCATCATTATATTAAATGTTTTTAGAATTAAAAGAAGTAAAAAAAAAAAAGTAGGGAGAATGACATTTTTAAATAGGGAGAATGACATTTTAAGTCCCAAAACTTTGAATTAATAATAGTTAAGTCCACAACAAAATTTTCTGAAAAATAAGTTGCAAATTGGGAAAAGGCTAGAATTGCCAATCACATCGTCTCTGCTCTCAACCAATATACGTGCGCCAAGATTGAGAGGAATTAGCGCCAAAACTAGATACCTTGGCTTTTCTTTTTGAGTAGTATCCAAATCATCAAACAAAGAATGGCGATTAGGGCCAAAACTCCAATTGATGTAACAAGTGGAATTGCAAACTTGTGTTTTTTGTTGCATGAATCTATCTCACAGAGGCCTGGATTGTTGGCCGCACTGGTAAAATAGAAGAGGAAACATGCTTAGAGCCAATGAATTTCAAAATAACATGCCATCCATGTGTAAATGCTCACTCACCTTTATATATACTTAGTGACTCAGCATGGTTGATTAGTGATCTATTCGTAATGCTAACTAGGACTTCCTCTGTTCATTATTATAGCACACTAGTTTTAACTAATTTACGCCTCCCAATAATTTAGTTAATACATGTAAAATTATGCATTATTTTCATGTTTAACCTTAATTATTTAATAGGTTGTCTTAATTACAAGACCTTATTGATATCATCCCTAATTAAGGTCATTTTTGAAAGAAAAAACATTTTAATTTCACTTTGAAAGACTCAAAATATTAATATGTTTTAAAATAATACTTAGGAAAGAATGCCTTATAATACTAAATAGAAGGAGTATAAGTTTTTTTTTTTTATCTTAGAAGGCATATGTGTATAGGGCTCCATAAACTTTTAGGAGTATAGATAATTTATGAGAAAATTTTATGCATCTTGTTCTTTCCTTCTTCCCTGTCCAAATTATCAAAGACTGAATGAAAAGCGATCAGGACCCAAATTTTATCCAATTTGGCCTCAAACGAGAATAAACTAGAATTTGAATTTGATCTTGTGTTATTGAAGAGGCAAGTAAATCAAACCTGAGCTGCCAATTAGCATTTTCTCTGAATGCCTTGGGAATTGAACCAGTGAGCTTGTTTCCTGTCGCATTACTGCAAGATGGTGAAAAGTAAATTAATGGAATTTTGAGGTACATGACAATCCAAGCATGAAACACTCAGTGTGATATATATTAGGGTCATACATGAATTTCAAATTTGGAAGAGTTGCAAGAAATTCTGGTAGTTCCCCAATCAATTCATTGTTTGACAAATCCCTATGAATATATAAATGAATTTAATTGATATTGTTCATAACATCTAACAATAAGCTTAATATAATAGTATTTGAATGTTTAGAGCCTGTCATCTATAACAACTTACAGTGACTCCAATTTTTCTAAACCTGTGAATGATTTAGCTATTTGACCTCTGAGTTCACTTGAGCTTAAGGTCCTGCAATTTGTAGTTCACAATTTTGCCACCATAATTGTAATAAATTAAAGGAGAGAAATAACAAAAGTGAATGTGTGTGTGTGTGTGTGTGTAGCTTGTAGGTTGAGATGTATTAACAAATCAAGGCAAGATTGTGACAAGCTGTTTGGAATATAAAATCCTCGCACTACATATATGGTTCATTTATCTTACATTTGGGTTTATAATGTCCTGCTCTCTTCAACTATTTGTACATGCAATATATGCTTCTTAAATGCTTCAAATATAACAATATACAAAAGAGTAATGGTGTAGTGCTACTTACAATGAGACAATTCTTGTATTGTTGTTAGAGCCGCAATTCACACCATCCCATGCAAAATAAGATGGCACACATGGGTCCCCTTGCCAACTTATTTTGGAGACCCCATAAGTAGTCTTGCTCTCCATGATGGCATTAACTGCATATTTCCAATAATAATTAAACAGAACTACTCAGTTGAGCTGTTTTTTTTTTAGTGTATATATATATATATATATATTGTGTGTTGTTTTATATGAATGATGGAAAATCAAACAACGTGACAATAAAAACAAAGAAAGGAAAAATGACTTGAAAATGTGAAAGATTAACCCTGAAAAAATTCAATAAAAAATTTTAATTCCATGTAAGGGAGATAGTAAAATGAAAATTCCTTATATAAATTTCATTTTTCCTACAGGAAAAGGTGAAAATTATAGAAACACCATCTTGAGTGTTTGTAGGGGAATGTCATTCTTCGAAGACTCTGTAAATCTCATAGGCATTGAGGATAGGAGAAGCATCAGAATCAACTGTTGCTCTGAATGTGATGCTAATTTTTCTAGTTACCTTGGAACTTAAGGTGATGGGTTTCAAGTATTCAAGAGTAAGTTCTTGAGAGAGAGAATTTTCATCATAATCAAATGTGACATTGATAATCCTCTTTTGGCCAGAAGGAAGCTTCTGAATTTCAGTGAAATGAAGGAACACATAATATTGTTCATTGAAACTCCAATTTACATTTAAGACATTGAAATTTTTCTCAAGTTGACATGCTGTGAGTAACATTTCTGATGGCAATTCATAAATGGAGTTTTCTACTTTTACTTTTGCACTTGTATTCAAGGAATCCCAGTGAGGGGGTCTAAATCTGTGCCATATGCGGTCATACACATCATCATTGTACCTGCATTAAAAAAAACAAAGGCATCACGAAAAACAAGAGAAACTCAAATTAAAATAACTATGATGTACATGCTGGAAAATCCGGTAAAAAAAATGATTCAAATCATGCCTAAGGACGTTGTCCCTAAAAGCTATTTTGGCACACATGGTTGAATGCAATAGCTCCTCAGAATTAAATAAACCCCTTCTTATATAAACAAGGACACAAAACAGCAGAGAATAAACAGCACAACTTAGGCAAAACATTGGAACAAAGGAAAAGAGCAAAGCCTGAAAGCTCAAGGGTTTACATAAACCTCTCTTAGAAAATATAATTGGGAACTAAATGTGAGCACCTTTCTCAGTGAGAATTCAAAATTTGGTTCATCATGTTGTAAGGCACTAGCTCTTTCCGCTAGACCAACTCCTGTTGGTTCTTTCACTTTATTATATATATATATATATATATATATTATTAAGCATAATTTTGGCCAATATGTGACTTTGACATTAACTAAGCCTACTCATATTTGAACATCCTAACATTAATGTATGTAATAAAATTTAAAGATAAACTTTCAGTCCCTCAACTTTGCCTCAATTATCGATTTGATCTCTTAGGTTTAATTTTTATTAATTTAGTCCCTTCTGTTTTCTTAAATTATCATATGAATTCTTTAAGTTTTAAAATATAAATTGATTTCAGAATAATTTAATATGTAAAGTATATAGATAACTTAGCATGTAGGTAAATAAAAATAAATTAACCCTCAAATTTATTTAATTTTTATCAAGATATGGTCTCTTATTACATTGAGTTTTGTTTTCTTGTTTTTTAATATTTCATTTTGGTTTTTTCCTAACTAAATGTTTACACTTCTTTTCATTAATCATGGGTGCCATCAACATTCTACTATTCATGTTAGTAAATTTTAACAGTGGCACCTCGTTTTTAAATAGAAAGGATCAAATCAACAATCAAAGTAAACTTAAGGGATTAAATTGATTAAAAATTAAACTTGAGAGACCAAATCAATAATTGAGACAAATTTTAAAACAAAAAGTTGCATTACCCTAACAAATCACCTTATTTTCAGATCATGATAAATAATATGACTAGTTTTACCAATAGCATACAAAATACATGAAAATTGTCTATATTTACGTCAAAATACGTATAAATCATCAGAAAATGTGCCCCAATAATTGGTATATATTACCTCAAAATCAATTTCCAGACTAGTTTAGAAAGAGCACCTGACATAGCTGGTCTCAGAAAAAATGCCACAATCCTTCCTCATGGAAAGGGACAAGGGAAATGGAGAGAAATAGAGAGAGTTGTCCAATGGCCTTAATTCCAAAGTGTTGATGAAAGGTGTGCCTCGTCCTATGTGTACCAGACACACTTGTACAATGCCATTGGTAACTTGTTGGATTATTATTTCAAAATGATTTCTGAAATAAGTTATGTCCAGGCTGAATCGTCATCCAATAATTGACCCCTAAGTAGAGATCGAACTTTGGGAATTGGTTTTTGTTGTCATAATTTGGATATGCAAATGAAGCTCTAATCAAATACTTGTGCTTATTATTATTATTATTATTATTATTATTATTATTATATTCCCTCCTCCTCCTCTTGGTTTGGTCTCAAAGTGTAACAGTTTCTTTGTCCTTCTGGAAACCTTCTCAGCGTGTTTAGTTGTCTTTCCATGTATGGAAGATTATTGATCTTAGAGCTGGGTGGTATTTCATGATTGGTTCCGCTTCCTATAAAGCCTTCATCTGTATGGTACTAAATCCCAGTTAATTCATCCAAGTAATCTTTGCTTGCTCCACAGTCTATGCTTATGAAACCTGCATATCAACAGTTGATGAAGATTGATTTAGGTTAGGTGTGTATGTTCATGGGAATGGGATCGAGACCAGGACAACCCAATCTTCCCGTGCATCCCCAAAATTAATGAAACTAAATTTTTATCTCATGTCCTGTCCCATTCCAAAAATATTCCAGTCTCATTCGGGATTAGAACAAGGCCGGCTTGTCTCAATAAAGAAGACAAAATGTGTAAGGAAGACCTGAATAACAACATTTATTAATTAAATTACATATAAATTGCCAAGTTCAAAACCAAAAATACAAAAATTTAATCATAGAGTTACAACAACTACAATTTAAAGTAAAGGAATCGAATGATCACACTGTAAAGTCAAGTATATAGCTACAAATAATCTCCAGGCTATAATTGCAACGAAAATAAAATCTGTGTTACACAACTTAAATAAACTAGCCAAACACAACATCAAGTCATTTGTTATTTTTCTTTAGGTGAGATATTTAAAGATATTACATTATTAATAAAAAATATTTGTACTTAATTAAAAAATATATACACTAAATAAATAATTATTACATATTAATAAAAGAAAAATAATAATAATATGTATATTATATTTGGGATGGGATAGGACAAGACGTCCTGAAGGTGGTTTCATATCCTCTCCCAAAGCTTTTTTTTGTCCCATTTTGCAAAGTATTGTCCAGTTTTCTTACAAGCCTAGATAGATCCGTCCCAAAATAATTAGGCTGGAGCTAGGCCAACAGGATGGAAACAAGCATGAACACCTCTAATTTAGGTGACCAATAAAGAGATTGATTTTAATCAGCAGAAGAGGCTGGTTTATGGCTACTAATTAAGAATGAGGAATCGGATTTGAGTTCGTGAAAATGCAAAGTTGCCATCAAAATTATACGCCTAACAATGATTGATGTTTAGTCAATAACACTGGATATCAGAAAAGTCATATTTAAAAAAAAATGGTGTAGATGGTATATGAATAAGACTAACACCCTATAAGGATGTAAGTTTGAATCTTGATATACTTATGTGTGGATATCATTGGTGGCTAACCCATACTACCAACAAGCATTATATATGTATGTGTGCATTTTTTTTTTAATGTACATTATAAATATAGTTGGAATATTGGAAGAGTAAACATGCATAACATAAAATATGCATAAAAATGTTATATGTATGTATGTAATAAACATAGATATATATTGAATAATATATTTTTATATGATGATATATCAATTATAATTAATATATAGGAAGAATGGCAATTAAGTCACAAAAAAATAGATTAATAATAACTAAATTCCTGATAAAAGTTTTCAAAAAAAATGATTTGCAAGTATTGATTTAGGGCCCCTTTGTTTAAAATTAAAAAATAATTGATTTTTAGATAGTTCTTTCCACCATCAGATTTTTAAATAGTTTTAAATTTTATAAAAAAAAATATATATTATTTTATTTTGTTGTCCAATAATAAAAAAGCAATTGTGAATTAGTTATTTTTAATTTTATGATATCTTCTTTATTTTTGTTTTATAAAAATAATTTATTATTTTATTTTTTAAATTTTATCATACGTTCACATATCCTATCTTTTTTTATTCTTCTGATTATTTGTAAAATTTAAAAAAGTATTATAATAACCCCCAAAAATATATTTTTTTTCAAAAAAATAAGTGATTATAATCTCACAATTATATTTAATAGAATTTTTTAAATAAATGGGACCGTAGATAGATGCAACATAAATCTCAATTATAATCTCACAATTCTATTAATATACTTTTTTAAATCATTATTTTAATCTCATTTTAAAAAAAATATCTGAAACCTTGATTGTTTCTCTCTTAAAATCCCAAGTCCCCACTGTAGCCATATATATGAGAAGCTTCGTATATCTAATTTAACTTTCACATGCCTTTTTGTCTGAAATTTAACCTTCATATACTAAACTATTTATCAAAATTAAATATAAAAGTTATCTGAAGTTCTTACCTTCATTATTACCACCATCTGCAACAATCTGGGCTGAGCGATAACTTTCATGATGGAAGAAACCAATACATACAAAGCCAGAATCCACGGCACCGTTATCCTCATGTCTTCAAGTGTAGAGAAATGAACTGGAAAGCTTATTGCCATTTTCTTTCACCAGCAGAAATTTAATGGTGTGATTTTATTAATCAATTAATATATGTATGTTGTGTGCGCGCACGCGCATAAAATACTTTGCCGGGCACGCGTGGCATGACTGAGAATATATTTTTTTATTAAAAAAATTATCAGCACGGGCCAATCGGCCATGGGATGATTTTTTTTTTTTGGCCAAAAGGCAATTGAATGAATGCGAAAGGAATTATAGTGGTATGATCAATATCAAAATGAAATATAAAAAAACAATTGGTAGAATAAACTTATTATAATTTCATGGGAATAATGAAACTTTTAGTCCTTCAAGTTTACATCACGTATCAATTTGGTCCCTTGTTTTTTTT